AATTCTACTACATTTAACCAGATGACTAGTTCTCATATACGTAATTGTTAAGATTATACAAATGAGTTTTCATCTTTTTAATTATGAAATGTTAAATCATTTTGCTGTATTTATCGTAGTAATGTACTGAAATATGACCCATTGCCAATAACTGTATTTGTGTTTGTGCCAATAAAGTCTATGTATTTGTATTATCTGCGTAGATCAGTTTGTATAGAATTGAAAAAAAACGAAGCAATTTATGTTGATCGTCGCTAAATACTTATTTATCTTGTCATATCGATTGTAAACATTTACAAATCAATTCTTATACACGACAACAAATAGCATGGTAAAGGTAGAAATATTCTTTTAAGTATTTAAAGTCCATATTGATAACGACAGTCTTTACATACCGTGGAATTATATAACTAGTGATATTAAATAATTAAATGTCAAATTTGATTTATATGAGCGAAAAAGGTAAACATCGTTTAAAACGCACATTAACAATACTTTGGACAGATATTTTCTAACCCGTCATGAGAAAATTAGATAAATTGACAATTTAACGCCAATACACTATCTTACTGTTCATGATAGTAATTTTACGTCAAATTATAAGAAAATATTCAGAGGTGTTTACTGTTTTTATCAACAACCACGATTACACGATATATAGATAAAGAACTGTCAGGGATGCGTTGACATTTTACTTTCATCAATAATATCATTTATATGAATGATTTTGCTATCTATCCAGTTTTGGAAAAGAAGTGTTTTCTTTTGAAATTTGATCAATTGATTTCCCCAAATGACTTCTTGGCGGATAAGTCTGTAATTATTTGGAGGTTTAGTTTTATTATTTTTATTTTTTAACCATACTTTAATCATATCAAGATAAAATTCTGGTAGCTCTTTAGTACCTGGTAGCGAGTATATATTATTAGTATTCATTCTTAAGATAAGTAGATTACTTACAAATTTATTTAGATAAAATTTTGGTATAACCATGCAATTAAGAAATTCATCAGCAGTTAATCTTTTTATCCAACCTATCTTAATCGATTCTATATATTTATCTATATAACCCCAAGGGTGACTGGGGAATAGAAATATGGTCACCATTGGTCTTCCTCCGACCGGCGGTAAAACCCTCGCTTAAGTGGGGCGTCCGTTTGGCTGTGCGGGATGTACAAGTTCGCAGTCACGTCCGGTCAGAATGGGGACGTTAAATCCGATGCCTCGTGTAAAGAGAGTGCCACGTTCTTTGCACGTTAAGAACCCTTGCAACAACTCTTTGAGGGGTCCGTAGGTGGCCTGTTGCAAGGCTAAATTTCTGTCCTTATCCAATATACCCTCATTTTCCCGTGGCAGTCCAAATTTCCCCGACCTTCATCCCGGACGGCCTCTATTACAGGACCTACCTATTGTATTTATTGTGAACTTGTTCTCGTCCTGAATATGCATGCAATATTTGCCACTGGACGTTAAGCAACCAACAATCAATCAATTTATCTATATATGATGAGTTTTGGGGGGAAATATATAATTTATTTGAAATAGCTAAGATTGGTAGACACATTTTCACTGAAAAAAAATGTAATCTGGGGATATAAAATTAATGATGAACATTATTATGAAATAAACTTTTTACTTACAGTTATTGTGTTCACTATACACAAAATACACTATTTGTCAGAATATAGGACAAAAAATATCAATCTATATAATGTTTTTAGGTCAGAATTTAAAAAAGAATTATTATTACAAAAAAAATATATTAATATTGAAGGAAAAGGGATACTAGAAAAGATATATTCTTATATTTGACATCCTTGTTATATTATTGTCAATATTGTTATTAAATATGTATTTTACAGAACGGTTTGATAGATAATTATTTCATTTTACAATTTCAATGAGTTTTGAAAGTGAAAATACCTCTTATTTCTTCCACAAATTTATATACTGTAATTTTAGATTATACGGAAGATATACAAATTATGCTTACTATATGAGACCAAAAGTTTTTTTGTGTACATACCTTCCGTGGCTAATACAATTATATTTGGGAGACACGTGGTGAAAGCAATTAATCCACACAAAATATAACAACATAAAAACCGTCAAACCGGACAACAGAGAAATATATTAAACAACAAACCAAATTCCGAACACGCTAAGATAACCCGTTATTCTGTTTTATTCTCAACATCTATCAGATAGGAACAATTGATGGTATATTAAAAAAAACTCTTTTTTTACTATATATATATATATAGTTCATATTCAGAGTTATAATAGTAAAATAATAGAGAAATGATGCATTAGAGATAAATAATGTATTAATGATAAACAATGTATTAAAGACATATAATATACATACTAACAACATTAGAAATATATACCTGAAGATACCCTGGTCTTAAGGTACTAATATACAGGGATCTTCACTGAAATAGCTGTACCAGTGAAGAAATCTGTTAACAGCATGTGCAATATTGTTGTTGAATAAAAAAAAAACCATTTTACTGTACAACGTGTATTTTTTATTAAGAATCTTTTTGAAGGGAATATACTACTAGTATTCAGATTTCAACATTATTGGTTGGTATCATTATTCATTATCGGAGTTCAGTATTTTTGTGATTTTCCTTTTCAGTATTCGAAAGAATAAAACATATAAGTGATTTCAAGTAAACTTCCGATATGATACAATTTCAGTGTAATTATTGTTTTGTTTTACGTTTGTTGACTTAAAAGGGTAAAACTTATGGTCAATGGAAAAAAAATATATATATATATATATAAACAAGTCTTAATTGGAAACAACGTTCAAACCTATGATTGCGTTGGATAAAAACCGCAATTTTTATACGTGTGCATGCTAAACAAATTTCTTGGTGGAGGGGTCTAAATACAACACAAACAACATTTTCCAAAAGACCAAATGAGTGGAAAAGTATATTTTAACAAAACGCATTTGACTTGCAGGTCGAACAACTGATGTTCTTAAACCCTGCTGACTGCCATTGGCGATTGCCAAATAAACATATCACAAGATGTAACAAAATAGATCTTATTATTAATTTATTACCAAACAGAAAACAATAAACTTGCGGAAAAGATGGTATACCGCAAACATGAGGTGCAAAAAATTGTACACCATATCCGGATTACGACAATTAATGTCTCTTCAGTGATGCTAGGAATAGATTGATTGTTGGTTTCTTAACGTCCAGTGGCAATGCTAGGAATAGAAACGGTATTTGGAAGGCCATATAATTTACCTCAATTTATATGTCTGTTATGCGAAATATTTATAGATAATTACATTTAATATTTCCTTTTTTTTATTATTGGTGTTGTTTTGTACACTTTTTAGGCGTTTATATAATTTATTTATTGTGTACATGTATCGTTACTCGTAGCGATCCAGCGCCCTCGTGGGAAAGATCGTTGACTAATATTCAGACGTTTATTTATAAGGAATGTGTTTTCAGCCTTGTATCACCATCACTGGTGATCCGATGGATAAAATCTGTCAAAGAGTTGTCACTGGTTCAGACATACTTATATATATATATATATATACACAAAGTCTAAATTGAAAACTTTTTTAGAAAAATTACGAGACGGTCTTTAAAAGAATCTTTCCTTAAAGACAATTTTTAATATTCGTCAGTGTTGGACATGTCTGTATTGACTTCCTGCTTTCGTATTTTGCTCGTAATTAAATATTTGAAAGAAAAAAAAAACATCAGAACAGCTAAAAGTCTGAAAATCTCAAGGTAAATAATTTTCTCACATAGATTAACGAAAAATGTTAATTCAATGCTCTTTTGTGTCGGAAACATAGTTTGTATCTGAAACTTTTAAAAACAAGTGAAATTGTAATGTATGGTATTTGTCGATGAACTGTATTAGAAAAATTACGAGACGGTCTTTTACATAACAAATCTAATTGATCATCTTTGTGTTTCCTAAAATTGAGTGATCACAATCTTGCAATAGAACACGGCTACATTTAAGTTACCCACTATTGAACGAGTTTGCAATGAATGTAAATCTAGTGAGGTAGAATATGAAGATCACTTAACACTGAGATTTGACAAATATTCTAACTATAGATTAAGCTTTTAAATTTTATTTGAAATACCCTACACTTCAAAGTCAGACCCCCAAGGGTGATTGGGGAATAGAAGTATGGTCACCATTGGTCTTTCTCCGACCGGCAGTAAAACCCTTGCCAAAGTGGGGCGTCCGTTTGGCTGTGCGGGATGTATAAATTTGCAGCCACGTCCGGTCAGAATGGGGACGTTAATTCCGATGACTCGTGTAAAGAGACTGCCACGCTCTTTGCACGTTAAGAACCCTTGCAACAAATCTTTGAGGGGTCCGTAGGTGACCTGTTGCAAGGCTAAATTTCTGTCCCTATCCAATATACCCTCATTTCCCGTGGCAGTCTAAATTTCCCCGACCATAATCCTTGGCGACTCTTTTACAGAACCTACCTATTGTATTTATTGTTAATTTGTTCTCGTCCTGAATATGCATGAAATATTTGCCACTGGACGTTAAGCAACCAACAATCAATCAATCTTCAAAGTCAGAATCAAGTAAATATGAAATGTTCCTTTAAAGTAATTAATTAAAAGTCATGAAAGTCACTCGTTCTCATAAAAGTTAAGTGTTTAGATTTTAGAAATGACATATCATCTTTTGAATTATAACATGTTTTATCATTTTGCTGTTTTGTTGTTATAATATACTGAAATATGACCCATTGCCAATAATTGTAAGGCGTTTGTACCAATAAAATACACGTATTTGACTAATCTGCGTAGATCAGTTTACATAGAATTGAAAAAAAACGAAGTAATTTTAAGTTGAAGGTCGCTAAATACTTATTTATCTTGTTTTCATATCGATGGTTAATGTTTACAAATAAAATCCTAAACACGACAATAAGTAACATTGTAAAAAGTAAAAATATTCTTTTCAATATTTAAATTCCATGCATCAAAGATATGAAATTTGATTTGTATAGTTAAGAAAGGTAAACATCGTTTAAAACGCACATTAACAATACGTTTGAACAGATATTTTCTAAACAGTCATAAGAAAATCAAATATGTTGAAAGTATAACAGTGTATAACGCCAAAACACATAACTTTCTTACTGTTCGTGATAGTAATTTTACGTCTAATTATAAGAAAATAAGATGAGGTGTTTGCTGTTTTATCAACCAAAATATTTTTGAAGGGAATATACTATTCAGATCTCAACATTATTGGAAATCGAAATATTGGTTAGTATCATTATTCAGTATTCGAAAGAATAAAACATATAAATTATTTCAAGTAAACTTCCGATGTGATACAATGTTAGTGTAATTATTGTTTTGTTCTCTAATTTATGTGTAAACCTAAATTAGGTAAACCTTTTAATCATTTTATATGCAGTAAAGAACAGTGTGTTATTTCTAGATGCCGTATTGGTCATACAAGAATAACACACGAGTATCTTGAATGAAGATGAACCACAATGTATACCTTGCAACTGCAAGTATACTATTAAACATGTTTTAATTAATTGTATTGTAAAAAAAAAAAAAAAAAAATTTTTTTTTTTTTTTATCTTGAATAAAAAGTATTGACTTTGCTGATATTCGTAGGAAGCATATCAATGTCAATAATATGTATGATTTATTTAATAGTGTTCCAAATAAAAATATTGTTTCATTCTTAAAAGAAGTTGGAATATATTATAAAATATAAAAATGTTGTATAAATTTAAAATGATTTCAATTTTTATCACGTTATCTTAGTGTTGATTTTTATTTGTAAATAATCAATTTGCTTTAGACTAGAATTTTAGTTTATTGAAGGACCTTTTTTCTGATTTTAAAATTATACTTTAAATTGTATATATATTTGAATTAGCTCTCGCCGCGATATAGCCTTTTTGCGGCGTAAAGCAAACACAAATCAATCAAATCAATCTAATGTATGTGTTATTTTCACATTTCTTGATCGGTGTGAGAAAAATATTTCTCCTAACTAGTGAAATAACTATTCTTAGCAATTGATTAGCATAACAGCTTTAAGTCTAATTAACTGGTGGTAAATGAAATAATTGTCTTGCACCGATTAGCGATAAATGTGAAATCAATGTATCTGAAACATTTAAACATAAGTGAACTTGTAATGAAATTCATTTTTAAAAGCCTTTTACACTGACCTGACTGACTGATAAAATGTCATTGGTAATGTTTTGGTTTACAAGTTTCATGTTTTTATTTCAAATAATTGTTGCTTTTCAAATGTTTACTGACGAGTTTGCTAATAAACATCACATCACTAGTTTGTTTAATGTTTTTTCAAGAGATTGGATTTCTTTTCTTGTCCATGAACGTTTTGCAATGAGTTTAAAAAAATGTATGCGCAGCTAAGCCAGGAAAAAATGTTCCTACATTTTACAATTAAGGCACAATGGATATCTGTCTTAATTTAGAAGAAAACGTTTAATATAAATCAGTGCAATACAAAGTTTTCTTGTTCATTTCATTCAATCTGGTTTCATTGTGAAAAGGGTAATGCAGTGATTGATTCAGACTTTATTGATAATTCGACACTTGTTTAGGTTTATTTATTATCTCGACAGTTTCTTAGTTTGTTATAAGTAAACGGAACACAACTTCAGGTATATTCTGGAATAAAAACTCAAATCCATAAATCGATACTGATCCTTGTTTTTATAGTGGTTTGTTCCGGATGCATTGACGTTAACTTACTTTGCATCGTTTATTTTTTATTTAGAATATTTTTAAAAGAAATTTATTATTTACATTGCAACATTATTGGAAGATTGAAATATAGTTTAGTATCATTAAGTATCACAGTACTGAAATTAATTAACATATAAGTGAGTTTAAGTTAACTTCCGATTTGATACAATTGCTGTCACTATTGTCTTATCCGACGTTTATGAGATGATTTCAAAACTAGGTTTAATCCTCCATTTTCTACATTAGGAAATGCCTGTACCAAGTCGAAATGTGACAGTTGTTATTTGTTCGTTTGATGTGTGAGCTTTAAATTTGCCATTTGATCAGGGACTTTCCGTTTTGAATTTTCCTCGGAGTTCGGATTTTTGTTATTTTACTTTTTTTCATGGTGGAAGGCGGATACTGGATATGAAATACATTTCATCTAAATCTCTCATATGCATTCTATAAGAGTTTGCCTTAATATCGTCTGTTACTGCTTGATTTTTTTACAGCGATCGACTTTACGCTTTTTATTATTATTTAATTTATGAGAATGTAAGAGAATGAATATAAACAATAACTAATGTTGCAAATGTCATAACACTCATTTACAATTTGATGGTAACTGTACACCTTCTGGCATTTTAAACTATTATACCTTTATAAATGTCAATGTAAATGGTTTTAAAGTTTTCTATATATAAGTACTTTTCACAAGGCCATTGTGAAATATTCATATTAATAGGGCAATGCAAATATGTATTTTACTTGTATTTTTTAGCTCACCGTTCCGAAGGAGGAACGGTGAGCTTTAGCCATCACTTGGCGTCCGTCGTCGTCGTCGCCCGTCTGGTGTAAATTATTTCAAACATCTTCTCCACTGAAACTACTAAACCAATTCCAACCAAACTTAACCTAAATGATCCTTATAGGGTATCTAGAATAAAGTTTGTTTTATTTTTTGTTTCGTCAAAAACATGGCCGCCATGGCTAAAAATAGAACATAGGGGTAAAATGAGTTTTTGGCTAATATCTCAAAAACCAAAGCAGTTAGAGCAAATCTGACAGGGGTAAAAGTGTTCATAAGGTAAAGTTCTATCAGCCCTGAAATTTTCAGATGAATCTGATAACCCATTGTTGGGTTGCTGTCACTAAATTGGTAATTTTAAGGAAATTTTGCAGTTTTTGGTTAATTATCTTGAATAATATTAATGATAAAGATAAACTGTAGACAGCAAATATGTTCAGCAAAGCAAGATCTATAAATAAGTTAATATGACCAAAATTATCAATCGACCCCTTAAAGAGTTATTGCCCTTTAATGACAATTTTACACAATTTGTTTATCATGTTTTCTAACTTGAAAAAAAATCTTCTCCTCTGATACCACTGAACCAATTCCAACCAAACTTAAGCTGAATGATCCTTTAGGGTATCTTGAATAAAGATTGTGTTTTATTTTCTATTTCGTCAACAAACATGGCCACTATGGCTAAAAATAGAACATAGGGGTAAAATGCAGTTTTTGGCTTATATCTAAAAAAACAAAGCAGTTAGAACAAATCTGACATGGGGTTAAAGTGTTCATTAGGTGAAGTTCTATCAGCCCTGAGATTTTCAGATGAATCTAATAACCCATTGTTGGGTTGCTGCCACTGAATTGGTAATTTTAAGGAAATTTTGCAGTTTTTGGTTATTATCTTGAATAGTATTAATGATAAAGATAAACTGTAAACAGCAAATATGTTCAGCAAAGTAAGATCTACAAATAAGTTTATATGACCACAATTGTCAATTGACCACTTAAGGAGTATTGCCCTTTGAAGACAATTTTACACAATTTGTGTATCATGTTTTCTAACTTTACAAAATCTTCTCCTCTGAAACTACTGAACCAATTCCAACCAAAATTAGGCTGAATGATTCTAGGGTATCTAGAATAAAGATTGTGTTTTATTTTCTGTTTCGTCAAAAAACATGGCCGCCATGGCTAAAATTAGAACATAGGGGTAACATGCAGTATTTGGCTAATATATCTCAAACACTTAAGCAATTAGGGCAAATCTGATGAGAGGTTAAAATGTTCATAAGGCCAAGTTCTATCAGCCATGAAATTTTCAGACGAATCTAACAGTCCATTGTTGGGTTGCTGCCACTAAATTGATAATTTTAAGGAACTTTGCAGTTTTTGGTTATTATCTTGATTATTATAAATGATAAAGATAAACTGTGAACAGCAAAAATGTTCAGCAAAGAAAGATCTACAAATAAATTGTGACCAAAATTGTCAAATGTGTCCTTAAGGAGTTATTGCCCTTTAAAGACAATTTTTCACAATTTGTTCATCTAGTTTGCTTGCTTTAAAAAATCTTCTCCTTTGAAACTGCTGAATCAATTTCAGCCAAACTTTGGCTGAATGAGTTTCAGAGTATCTAGTATAAATTTTGTATTTTATTTTCTTGTACGTCACGTAGCCACTATGGCTAAAATGGAACATAGGGGTAAAATGTATTTCTTTGCTTTTGAAGAAAATATGACAGATACAAAGAACATCTAAATTGAATTTTTAGGCCACTCATTAATATATTTTAAAAAGCAAAAATAATCATTGATGAAAGATTTAAGCAAAATATTACAGGTGAGCGATTCAGGCTCTTGAGAGCCTCTTGTTTAATTTAATTATTGTTTTATTCTTAAAAGTCGAAGAAAATTCTATTGAAAATGAAATGTTTTTTGACAACCCATTCACTAATACACTTTCTCTTTGGTTTATTAGATATCTCGACAGTTTCTCAATATGTTATGAGAAAACGGAACATAACTCAATGTATATTCTGAACAAAAAAATCAAATCCATAGATTCTGATACTTGGTTTTATAATGGTTTGTTTCAAATTACTATCATGTAAGAAATGGGTATACACATCATTAAATTATTATGGGTTAAAACATAATACATAAAATAATAATATAAAAAGATTTTATAGAAAAAAACAAATGATACAGATAAAATAAAAAAATGAATAGAATTACAGATGCATATTGAATATATTGACAGTCTAACGTCAAATCATCTTACCGTTCATGTTTCTGAATTAACGTCCAATTATGAATAAAATATTATTACTAGTAAATGTTTATTGCTGATATAAACAACCACAATTGCCTGTACCAAGTCAGGAATATGACAGTTGTTATCCTTTCGTTTGATGTTTGACTTTTTTAGATAAAAGACTGTCCGGATGCATTGACGTTTATTAACTTTACATCGTGTATTTTTTATTTTAAATATAAAAGGGAAGTTATTATTTGTATAGCAACATTATTGGAAAATCGAAATATAGGTAAGTATCATCAAGTGTCACAGTACTCAAAAGAATTAACATACAAGTGATTTCAAGTAAATTCCGATTTGAAACAATTGCTGTGTAATTACTGTCTTGTCCTATGTTTATGAGATGTTTATGAGATGTTTTTTTCAGAGTGGAAAAGGCGAATACTGGATATGAAATAACTTTATTCTGTTTAGTATCTCTCAT